GCTCTCAAGTACTTTTTACTTAACTCCTGACAGAAAAAGTACTTTGGGAACAAGTTTTCTCAGTGAAATGCAAGCTTCTGTTTCAACGCACAGATGTGCAGATTGGAGACGGCAACATCTGGTCCTTGCAGTAAACTGTCAATTAAGGGCAGCAGAATCATGTCAGTGTTACAGACTTCAGTACAAATATCTTGCAGAAGATTTAATTATAATGTGCAGCTGACTACTTCTGAATTCTGTTACTTGATGTGTTATGCAAATAACTACTTTGAGGTGCAGAGTGAAGGGATGTTGTAAGCTGGAGTCAAGTGCTTGTCATGACTTCTGGAGTTACCTACGAGACTGTCTGTAGTCCCTTTGCTTTGACCAGGCTTGTGGACTAACTGCATTGATCTGTCTTTTTCCAGAGCTCTCAGATCAGATCCAAAGAGCCATTCAGCTGGAGGAGGAAAGGAGACGAGCCCAGGAGGAAGCAGAACGCTTGGAAGCTGATCGTTTGGCTGCTCTGCAGGCCAAGGAAGAGCTGGAGAGACAAACTATGGACCAGATAAAGAGCCAGGAACAGCTGGTAAGACCCAGTTGGTTTGAGGATACGATATACAGGCGTGTTACTATGCCCTTTGAGTAAGGCAAAGCCTTGTTCTCTGGGGAAAAACATAGTGGGGTGAAGTACTAGACCATGCGATAGCATCATTGTGGCACTGGTTTCTATCATGAGCAATCTACTTTTTGTTCTTAATTTCCTATTCAGTCTTTATTACAGCGGAGTGTAACACTTGGGTCTTTTCTCAGTCAACAGTGTTTCATTGTTGTGTTTGGTTTTTTGTTTGTTTTGGTTTGGTTTTTTTAAGAGTCCTTATAATTCCAGTTTTATTATTCAACAGGCTACAGAGCTTGCAGAGTATACAGCCAAGATTGCACTTCTTGAAGAGGCAAGGAGGCGTAAGGAGAGCGAGGTTGAAGAGTGGCAAATCAGAGTGAGTACCTCTGTTTTACAAAGTTGCTCTGAAGTTCTACACTCGAGCAGAGCATACCACAGTACTTAGCCAGGTACGACTTCTCTAAACATGTGGAGACAAACATCCATATACCAGCAGAGAAGGGCAGACTTGTGATGAATGTGCAAATGCCTGCAAAACACCTTTCTTCCAACAAGCCTGCAGTCAAAATTCAAAATGGAAGCCTGTATAAAACCTAAAAATGTGCTCATCATCTTGGAGCCATGGAGGGGAAGGGGCACGTGTATAAATAATGGATTTAATCCATGATGTAATGTCTGAAAACATTACATCAATCAAGAGAAGACGCTGCAAATGCAGCCACACCGCAAGGTACCAGTCTTGAGGAGTATGTGCTGTTGTCAGTGGCTTCCTGGTAGCTGGGTCGGGAGAGCTGAATAATTTGATGCACTAAACCCAAAAATAAACCATGCAAGGCTCGGAGTGCCTGGTGCTCCCAGTGCCTTCTGACTAGCGCTGCAGACCGCGTGGGAGGGCAGAACCACTGAAGCAGCAAGGAAGCTGACTGCCTAGTGCGTAATTGCATTCAAAATGCCAACTCGGGAATCTAAGTTCCTGCTCTGTGGAACCCGTATTTACAACCTACAGCTCTTCAAATGGAGAAGAGGAAGAAGACAACTGTAAGGTCCCACAGAACTATTTTTCCTAGACTGTGTTTTATTGGAAGAAGATTCTTTGTTTAGATCCCCTGCACATTGCACAGTGGATGATGATAGCATCACTATGCTATGATGATGATGCTGTCACTAGCAAAAAAAAAAAAAATGTTCTGCGTAAGACTGTAACAGAGTACTGTCAGCTGCAGAGATTTAATTCCCTCTTTCTTGCTTTTCATTGTAGATTGACAAAACTGGGAAGATAAGCATTGAAGGGTTCATTAAGCTGGTTTAAAGCAAGAAATGCATGAAAATATTTTTCACTCTTTTCCCAAAGGCCAAGGAAGCCCAGGAGGATCTGGTAAAGACGAAGGAGGAGCTACACCTGGTAATGACTGCTCCGCCCCCGCCCCCACCGCCTGTCTATGAGCCAGTGAACTACCACGTCCAGGATAACTTGCAAGATGAAGGATCCGAGTATTCTGCCTACAGCGCAGAGTTCTCCAGCGAGGGGATCAGGAATGACCGCAATGAGGAGAAACGCATTACTGAAGCAGAGAAGAATGAACGTGTACAGAAGCAACTGAGGGTAAGAAAATGTTTGGAGGAGGGGGAGTAATGAAATCGTTCCTGGAAAATAGATCATTTAACCACTTGGTTAAGCACACAAAGCGTGATGGCTTCTCTTCATTTACAGGTCCTGTAGGCAGTTTGAATTAAAGACAAGGTATATAAAGATTATTCTCATTGCTTAGGCTTTGAGATTACTTACATCATCCATAGTGTTTATGGAAAGCATACGTTGTATCCGTATCACTGATCTGTCCAGTCATCTAACAACTGTCAACTCTCACCAAAGAACACTGCTGTTACGAGCTGAAAGCTTCTCATGTATAATCTGTATTTAATGTTCTTTTATATTGCAGGCGCTGACAGACGAGCTGGCCCAGGCTAGAGATGAAAATAAGAGGACCCACAATGATATTATCCACTCAGAGAACATGCGACAGGGCCGTGACAAGTACAAGACGCTGCGGCAGATCCGGCAAGGCAACACTAAGCAGAGAATTGACGAGTTTGAGGCGATGTAATGACGCCTGTAACAAGAAGGCAGGACTGTGGGAAAGGCAGATCTTAATGCTGTATTCTTGTTTTGGGGTTTTTTTGTTGTGTTTGTTTTTTTTTTCCCTGAGGAGGGGTCACTATGACATTTAACAAATGTTCTCTAAACCCAGAGGTGTTTGAATCTCCCTTTCATACCTTCTATTAAATTCGGTATAGTTAAAAACTCATCGTACCACTGATCCTGGTAACTTCCTTTGGCGTAGTGCCAAAAGGCCTTATGTCACATCTCTCTTTGAGCAAGACAAATTTTAATAGGCCATGCTTCTAGTTGAAGATACGTGTCCTGTGCAGGTGCTGGATTCAGCTCGGTCTAAAAATAAGCAACTGTGGGTGAATTTTGTGCCATATGTCTTTGTATTATTAGTTACAGCGTAAAGTCCAGCAGTTGAGAAGACAGATTGTAGAACTCAGGATTTGCAAGCGCCTGTATGTATGTGTATACCTGCGTGCACCATGCCTCTTTTACAGCCTGTTTTTTGTCTTGGTCTTGATGCCCACCTTCCCCCACACACACACACGCACACAAAAGAACTGACAACACCTCAGAACTACTTTGTTTTAGATTGATTTAGGTTGATTTAGAAATCAGGCTTTTTCTGGTTGCTGTTCTCAACCGGAGAAATCCTGCAGTGATGGCTCAGACGCGTGGCACAGGGACACCGATACCCTCCTCGCATAACAACTAGGCAAATACTCTGTTGGAATCTAATACACTACTGTGTTTGCATTCCAGCTTCATTACTGATCAGTTATAGTGTAGTATTTATATATATATATAAAAAACCTGCAATACTAGTTTAAAGGGAAATAGTTTTGCTCTGTATATTTTGTTACTTTTCAGATTTAATAAGACTTGCATCTGTAAAAATGCCTAAACAACACTGTAGTCTGATACAGTGCAGCTGATTATTTGCTATAAAGCATTATTTGTAAAGATCATTTTTTTTACTTAACAAAAATTGTTATATGTACACATGATCCAATATATACAATTTTACTGCACCTATTTTTCTAACAAATTTTCTAATTTTTTTAAAATGTTTGATTTAAAGTTTCAGACTCCAAAGATGAAGGGACTGCTTGTTTATATCACAGTTGTATTCTCTCTAGTAGAGCATTTCTGTGACCATTCCTTCCCCACAGATCTCCTCCTTTCCTTGAAAATCTGTTAGAAAGTGAGATACAGTATGTTGTCAGTGCTTCTCTTCCATTTACAACATCTATGCTGCTTTATACTTGAGTTGAATCTTGTGTGGTTTTTTATTTGCAGCAGCGAACATCTAAATAAAAGATCTGCAAAGTAACAAAGGACTTGGAGTCAAGTGTTTCTTGTGGGGGGTGTATTTTGTGTAAGGTGTGCTACTGCCCTCTTAGTTCCTGAGCTTAGCATATGAATCCCTGTGTCTTAAGAGTTAAAAGCCATGTTGACCTGGAAAGGAAAAAAGGAGAACACTTGCTGTAATGACTAGTGTGACCGTCTTCACCTGAGTCCCAGGGAAGAGGTATATAACAGCAGCACTGGCTACGGTTGTGTAGATGGAGTTTCTGCTGACTGTAACACTACATCTGAGGCAGAGTGAATGAATGGACACAGTAGTTGGGCCTTAAGCTTACATTTCCACCGGTTCACAGGAATAAATGGTAAGTTTAGCTGAACTCTTACCCTGTCCAATCCATATGGCATACAGGACTTGTTAATACTGTCTTATGTGGGCAGCCGATAAGAACAAGGAACTTCCTACAACTACATTTATTCTATTAGCTTTGTCCCACACTCCTGCTGAGGGAGAATTTATACATTTAACTGGTTTCAAGCACCATGATACAGCATACAGTTGAAGGGCATGAGGCCACAGGCCGGAGCTTTTTAGGGTCATGCAAAGTAATACTGGCACTGTAGATAATTCTGAAGCACAGAGGTGTCAGCATCACCCGTTTGCAGCAATCAGTAAAAGATAGGCTAGTTTTTAATTCTCTCTGCACACGTATAAAACATCAAGAGCAGAGCGAAAGCATAAACTTCCTTAAGGTAACAGCTATTTTCTCTAAGAAGTATTCCTATCTGTGATAAAATTAAATAAATACCATTCTGCTGTGCCCAGAAATGGAAAACTGCATATCATCTGTCTACTGTTGTCTTGTCAGCATAATGCATTTCAAACTGAGTTTGTCACTCCTGAAGAAACAATACTTAACCTTATACCGCAGCTGGAGACACAGATAACAAAGCCTTCACTTTTGGAGAAATAAAACCTTCAGAACGTCACACGCTTTCAAATGCATTACTCTCTTCCCCAAAAACTCGAGCAGGTACTGTTGCAGTGTACCTTTCCCCAGACCTGAAAGGTATGCGCCACTTGAATTTAAAACATCACACATGGGGAAGGAAAAGTTGTTGTGCAGTGATCTCTCATGACTTAAAGTTTTCCTTATTTGAACGCAGTACAAGTGTAAAGTCCATCCACGTGTTTGGACTGCGGAGCATTTCGTGCCATGGGAGCACTGACTGAGAAACGAGGTCTGTACAGCCAAACGATTCCTCTGCAAGAAAGCAAAAGGAAAGGTCACAGGTTTACTTTTCACTTGGCCTTACCCAACTTCTGGCCCAACTGACTAGGTAACAACCAACCTGCTTCTCCCACTTCTATAGCAATTTCAGCTGTTCTGTAGCTCCTAAGGCATTGAGCACAATAAACCGTAGTTATACTTTTGAAGCATTATTTACATCCTGTTAAACTAGGAACACTCAGCTTGCAGCAAAGAAAAGTTTTTTGGTTGTACAACTTCAAAGCAGAGGAGCGAGTGTGCATACTAAAAATAGCAGAATGGCACAAAGCCTCCTGCTTCAGTTCATCTCCAGTGACTTTAAAGCCTTACTAGGCCTAGGGCTTGGATAGTCGTCTTCACTCAGAAGCAGGTAGTCCCTGCTCTAGCAGAAAGGAAAATGCTGGGTAGGACAATCAAAAGAAGCTCGTGAGGAAGCCTGCATAGCACTGCGTTATTACTAGTGATAATACCCCCTTAAAGTGCATGTTGATACCGTAACAAAGTGACTGAACCTCAGTCTTTTTGAGCCTTTCATCTCAAATACTGAAACCAAAGCACGCACTTACTCTCTGGGAAGACGGGGTGAGAGACTCCATTGGGCAGTCTGCAAGTGATGATACTTCCCTGCTCAACTACCAGTTAAACAGGGCCTATTCAGTGAGCAGAGGGTTTCTCAGCCTTGAGAAAGAGGGCTCACTCTTATGTTAGAACAGAGCCCAGAACTCAGACATGCAACAGGCCTTTCTGTTTCACTTTCTGTATCTCCCATTGATTGGATTGATTTGTGGATGTAAAATAATAAGCACAAATATAAGCAAGGTTGGAGTCTACTAGATCATTAGTTCTTGTGCTTCCTTTTGATGAGATAGTAGTTAAAAGTAGCCAATTCATAGAAAATAGCTCAAGGAACAAGTCTCAAAATAAGCTCTAGATGAGTTGACTCCACCCAACTTTTCTGTGCCTGTCTTCTGCACGGCCAGGCGCTGGCCCTAAAAGTTACCACGCTAACAAACAGCTTTCCTGAAAACTCCCCTGACACCCTTGAGCTTCTGCACAGACCTGAACTAAAACACATGCATTGGTTCTTGCAGGCTGAAAGCCCAAGATGGCAAGCTGCTTAGGACAGGGACTGGAGCTGTATCTGTAGGCACATGACAGCAGGTAATAAATAGCACAGTGTAAATATTATTATTTAGAATGTAAACTAAATGAATTTTTTTTTTCCCCAAATTACCTTCAATTTTTAGTGATAAAGAACTTACTTGCACCAAGCTTGGCTCCTCCTAGGAACTGATCGCTTGAGCTGAAAGCTGACTGGTCCCAGACAGTCAAGTGTAGACATGATTGCTGTAGCTGAGCTGGGGTGACACCATCAAAGACAAACAAATGTTTCCACTGGGGACAGGCTTCTTTCTTCAGGACAGGAGACTTTCGCTTTACCTCTGCTTGGTCTGGAAGGATAAGACAACTTCCCAAAAACAATGGGAGTTCAGCAAGGTTACTGATTTCTCAACCAGAAAACAGAACATTTGCAATAATCAACTTGGGCCCTTTAGGTTTGCCTTAAATAGCAAAAAAGTTCAGCTGAAGTGCAAGGCAGAACATGGTGCTAGTGTGTTTATTTGGGACTTGCTCCTTTTCCTGTCTGCCTTCAGCGTGGGTGCAAGTAGGCTCTTCTGATTTGCTTTTCCTTTGCTGTCACTGACTGCTGAGGGAGTCTTTACTCCCCGTTCTGTTAGCCACTACTGCCTGAAACCTGCCTTTCAGTAGATAAAATGCTCGCCCATGTCACTGAAGATAGGTGCCACAGCAGGTGAAATAGCTTTGAGATGCTGTAAGTGTACCCCAGTATCATACTTCCGATGGCATCTGATGCCTGACAGTGAGAAAGTAAAATGATCCCACATACAAGCTACTCAGCACATTGAAGAAAAATTCAGTCCCTCCTCTTTTAAAATGTCTAGAATGAAGACGATAAAAGTTTCCTTTTCAATGTATCCAAAGCTATATTTAATTCTGCAAAGGCACAGCTGAAAATAGGAAGGAAAATACCCTCTTGATTTGCACTTTTCTTTTTCCCCTCCTAATATCTAAAAGCAGATACTTAAACTAGTGAACTCCAAATTTTAATGACATATTAGTAAATTCTGAAGTTCCATTCAGGACCCAAAGAGCACGTGAGACCCGTCACTGCCTTGCTGAGTGCTGCTGTTGCGCAGACACCCCAATGTCACCATTACAAGGAAGTCTGACTAAGAATGTGGACAATGCCCCTTTCACATGCCAGTCTCCTGATGAAAACACGTTAATACATACCTTTGCACAAAACATGCGTGACATTTTCTATTTGAAGTGTTAGATCTCATACATACCCTTTAACAAATGAGTTCAGCATTCCAGCAGATCTCAGCATGGGCAAGTTCTTGGCCCCAAATATCATAACCTGAAGCTGGCAGTTAGGAACATCTTGGTCTTTTTTTCCTGAAACAGGAGCATTTACCACATTAAATATAACCAGTTAGTTCAGCTGCTAGCCTAAGATGCTGCTATAACTAAGTGGGAAAATGACTAAGCAGTACTGCTGCGATAAGGACTCACAGTGCTGTATTAGGATCATTTGAAAGATTTTTAACCTGCTTGTACAGGTTTGCTTGTACAAAAAAAAGCAAGCAATAAGTAGCAGGTTGCTTTGCGATTCCTGTTCCAAACATAGTTTTTTCTGTTGTATTTGTGAAAAGTAAACACAGGGCAGTACCCACAGGAGTGTTTCTCTGAAACAAAACCAGAAGCAGGAGAAACAGCCAAACCCAGGGTGTGATACCGCTACTCTGTTACAGCTGCAGTTACAGAGCAGAGACCCAGGCATGCATAGGGAGAAAAAATGGAAGACAGTAAGCTGGTAACTTTGGGGTCATCTAGAAAAGAAAAGGGAAAAAAAATTAATGTAACAGCTAATTAGATCTTTCTGTTGGTCTCTACCTGTTGCTATGATCCTGAACACAGAAAGCACTACTAGAGCTCTGAACGTCTGCATACCTCACTACGATCTCGGGAGGGGAGGAAAATGAGGTTGTCCTATCCCCTCCCCCCAAAGTGTTTATTTTACTCCACCAGCAGGTGCTAGCTCTGACACACTACAGCAATACTTCGTGTACCTTACAAGTCTTTCATTACCAAAAACTGAATCCTGACCGTACATTTTGAACCTAACATCTTCCAAGTGAAACAATCTCTCTAAAATGAGACCACTGGAGGAAGCCAAGGGTGCTGGTCTGGGTACCCTTGCAGCCATTTCCCTTTCACCTTTTCCCTAAATTGGCAGTCTCTGCCTTGGGCAGTAAAACTGCTGCATCACCTCCAGAATAAGGTCTACTGGCAACACCATGACAGGCACAAACAGCTGGATGCATCATACTGCTGCCATTGTAATGTGCAGCTTTTGTTGGCATTACAAAGAACAAAAAGATGAAATTGGCAAATGTTTGGATTTTAAGGAATTTAAAATGTAATACACCACAAACCACAGTTTGCAGTAGCCATTAACAATGACATACAGGAATATTATATGGACATGATCAGTCCTTCATTGATCTCAATTCTTTTCTAGCCAAGGGATTAATGTATGCTGAAACATTTTATACCTTCAAACTGGAAATTTTTATACTGGGCTGGTACTGACAGTCTTGCAGACACGAGGAGTTCGCTGCTGTACTGGATAAGCTCATCTTCAGGCTTTTCAAGCTGAAGAAGGGGACATACAGAAACCTGCATTACTGCAATCGTTCTATTCCACATCATTCTCACAGCTTATTTTTGCAACATGTCTTACTAATGGGCTGGATTGACAGCATTCTTCCCTCCATGACTTCAGAAGGCTGATCTTTTTCATAGCTTTCACTACATCCTGCTTTTAAGATACAACTAAGCACAAAAATTAAGAATCACCTTGGCTTTGAGCTGGTACCAGTTGAACAACTGCATTGAGTCATCTTCAAAATTCCACGCTGCCAGTGGAATCACCACTTCCCCCAAAAACACCCTGTATTTGAGTGCTCCTGCATGCCACACGGAGATCTGAAGCTGCCGACTTCTCAGCTGTGAGTATTCAATCTTGTACTAGAAAGATAAACAGCATTTACAAACCAATACACAGGATGGATGCAGGCCCATGCTCATAACCTGCTCAAAGGAAGCCCAGCCGCAGCATGACTGAAGGCATCTGGATGCAGACAAAACCATGTTGTCTGAACGTGCTTTGCAATTTGCATATTACCCCACTACTTAAATGCTAAATAATGCTCATCCAAATATGAAACAACATTCCAGGAATACCTTGGCCTGCTTTGCTGAAGATTTTGATTATTAATTCAGAACTTTAAATAATTCTTGACCATTTTTGCTGGGGTTCTTTTATATTTCTGTTTTACACTCTCAGCAGAATTTGGCTGCTCTGGAGGCCAGTTCAAGATTAAGACACCTAACAAAGGTGCTAAAACTTCCATTCTGGTCAGTGGACATCTCCTCAATGCAGTCAGTAGGAGCAAGGAAGTAATTCAGCAGACCACTAAATAAAGCCCTGATCTACTCCCAAAACATAGTTAGAGCCCTTTGAGACATTGTTAGGTATCTAATATACCCACGAGACTGGTAAATGTGATATCCAGCCTACAGGTGACCTGCACCCACCTGGACTGAAAGCTGGAGGCCATGGCATGGATGAGGACACCGCTACCCACATTTAGGCTGCAAATCACAAGCTGGGTGTAGGCTCTGGGGCGAATCACCATGAATCACCCTGGGCTCCAGTGATTCCCAAGAGCACTTACACACCTTTCACACATGCAGCCACCTAAACGCAGGTCCCTTAATTTGCAGCTGAATCCCACTGAGCTGGACCTGTCATGATGTAGTTTACCTGGACTAGCGCTATGCTCTTTTGACTATTTCTGCTACTCTGCTATTATTCTACTAATGTAATAATAATTAAACTAATTAAAAAGATTTCTAACTAAACTACCTTTAGTGTTCATGCAGCCAGCTCAGGCATGGCTCTCACTCTTCCTTTATCAGTTTTGCATGACTGGCATTGAAAAGGGACTATAAAATTAGGACCAATTATTCCAACTTCAGGCTCTTCTTTCTCCCAACTTAAACCCTATATACAGACTTTGGGATATTACATACGTTACACAAATCTTTTTTTGTTGTTATCGAATTTTGACAATGGTCTTTTCAAACATTTTGCCTGTTTCACTCACTACAAATTCTCCATGTTCATACACACTGGGAGATGGGGGTAATGCTGAAACTTCATGTAGTTCAAGGAGCAACAAGACAAGTTTGTCCCTCCATTAACTTTGTTTCACATCACCTCTTCCAAGACAACATGTTACTGAAGAATTCATCATCTCACGTGGTACTGCACACAAAAAATGGGTTTGTAGTGATCTGAGTATAAAACCAGAGCTGGGAACAACCAAACTAATCCAAACTCTCCCAGCTGACAGTACTCAGCTTCACATTTCATTAAGTGTCTGTGAAGTGATAATAATGGCTCCTATTTTCTACACACAGTTCTAACAAGGATGTGAGAAGTAACATTGCAAGGCATTAAGGAATTAAAATCGTAACTACTGTTCTGTGGTGGGATTATTAATGTTTGAAATTAGACACTACAAAGAGATGGCCTGGCAGTTGCATGGGGAAAAGGAAGCAGACAACATTTCAGAGGTGGTGGAATTCAGTTAGCTTTCAGCTAACTGCAGAGAGATGCTCCCAGTGGCACTGACAAAAGGGGTATCAGTTGAAAGGGATACTTGCATAAAATACTAACTGCTCTGCAATACACCCAGTTCCTGAATGTACAAAAAAAGCATCTATGGAAGACACTTTGCTTTTGCCACAACTCAGAACAACACTGGAATTCATTAAGAGTGTTTTCATGGACAAAGGCAGACTCTTCTGAAGGTTTGCAATTTACCATTGTAACTCCAAAAGCGTTTTCTCTTATTTGGACTGAAAAACATAATTTTTTGTAACTCCAAAAGCGTTTTCTCTTATTTACATTATTACATTATTGTTGTCAGTGACTCCTAGATTTGCCCCATCAGGACGATTCTGAACTTGCAGGATTGTACATTACAAAAGGAGACATTACCATGGAAAAGCGCGCTTAGCAGCACACAATTGCAAACGGTACCTTCAAAGTCTCATTGAATTCTGGATCCACTGTGCTCTTTTTGACAGCTGTCTTCTGCTTACTCCGAGGAGATTTATTAGGAAGTAAATAAACCTTAACGTACCTTGTAGATAGAGAGAAGGATATATGGAAAGTGACCAGAAGAAAAAAAAAACCCAACAAAAAAAAAAGAAGAAAAATTAATTAGATGAGAGGAGTTTTTTCTTAATTCTTAAACAATTTTGTTGACTTTGTAATTTTCCAAGCAATAAAATGGCAAATTGTGATTTATATCCTTTCTCAATAAAAGCAGACAGACTATAAGGATCCCTGTATATCATTCAGCTAATGTGTTTCAATCCTATCCTAATTGGGAAAGGGATTAGGATCTGAATAGGAATCTTTTCGTCTTCATACTCTTGGCCTCTAATAAAATAGCCACCAAGGAAGACACCTTGTCAGTTGTAGTGGCAGCTTTATGATGAACACACAGAGTACATTATGTGCTAAAAAAAAAAACCCCAACCACAACTCAATCAACTTTAGGATCATTGCTGCTTGTTCATGAAGAAAATATCTTTACAACACCAAGTACCATGTAGCAAAAAAAGGTATAATCATACAAATGATACATAATAATTCATAACTCTTACAAATGCTAATTGTTATAACAGCCACTAGAATGAAAGTGGGAGATTCTCTAAAGTGCTCAAAATTGCCCTAACATGGATTCAATGAACAGTAAAAAAAACTTCTGGAAGCTTGATATTGGACTCAATATCAAGCACCAATGATTCCTACCCAAAGTTTCTCATGTGTAGGTCACGTGAACATTAATACTTAAATATTCCCCTTCACGTGAGTTCAGTGGGCTGTATTTGTGTTATGGCTTCAAAACTAAAGAGTATTAGCAATAGAGAGTGCTTGCTCACAGCTTGGCAGGGAAAGGAGCGATTGTTAACATAATACTAAATATTTTTAAATTGTATTTGTATATATTTCAGATATTATGATTTAAACCGATTTTAAAACAGCCTCTTGATTAACTTACTGGGTAAATAAAAGCAGCGGTATCTCATATCATCAATGCAGAACTTGCACATATTCCCTATTCTTTCCAAACTTATCCATAGGTAAAACTACTTTTTAAAATATTCAGGTACTAGAAGTTTTAGCCTCTTGCTCCATCACCCCAGATTAATTTAATTAAAAAGTAGTCGGTCAGACCTCAAACCAGTCAACAAGCTAAATAATTCAACAGGTTTTAAACATCAGTTAAAAGTCTGCTTTTCAGCAAGTGTGTTGAATGAGTACACTGACTGTACTTTTTCTGCTGGCTTGGAAACCAAGTATCAACCCGGTATCAATACAGGCTGGGGGATGAAGGGGGTGAGAGGAGCCCTGCCGAGAAGGACTTGGGGGTACTGGTGGGTGAAAAGCTGGACATGAGCCAGCAATGTGCGCTCGCAGCCCAGAAGGCCAATGGTATCCTGGGCTGCATCAAAAGAAGCGTGGCCAGCAGGTCGAGGGAGGGGATTCTGCCCCTCTACTCTG